TATTCTAGCCAAAAGTAAATGCAAAACGTATGTGTCTAGTTTTGGTGATTTTTACAAATATTTCTTACATTGCTATATAAAGTTTATTATTTCATTATTAATAATAAAATTTTGAAATTATGTAAACACTAAACAACACAATGAACTGCAATTTGGCTGTATGGCATTCACAAGAAGTCCCCATCCAATTTGTATCACTTAAGTGATATTTGATAGATTTACAATGCTTGGTAATTTTGGGTAGCAACATGTTCCAGTCAGGAACCAAACCGGCGAACTTTGGATCTGCAGCTTCCTATGCCATATTTCTCAAACTAATGGAGCGTAAACTGTGTCCAATAACTTGTGATGGGCAGCAGAGACACTAATGACTATCAGTTCACTTAATTTCTCCTTACCCCCCCCCCATACAGACTATTGTTCCCCAGCTTGGACAGCTTCTATATAATGATTTGTCCGTGTGAGGGAACTCATTCAGTTTCAATCACTTATATCTGCTGCAGTGACCTCTCTTTGTCAGCAGATGACACTCTCTAATTGATTATGTTATAATCAGTGTAGCTGCTGGAAACTTAATGAAATTTTAATTGTTAAAGATTGACATACATGGGTTTGATACTGGTCAGTTATGCACACACATTTATACACACTAGTTTTGTATTTATTTCATATTTATTTATTTATGTCATTTGTATATCAATTTTATTTCATTGTCATTTGTTCTATTTCAATGTTTTGGATATTTTATATTTGCCTATGTAGCTTTTGAAATTTATTATATTATATTACATTATATTATATTATATTATATTTAGATATTATATTATATGATATTATATTATATTTCATTATATTATATTTAGATATTATATTATTTTATATGCCACAATGTTATATTGACAGGACATTCATTTTTAGAAGTAAACCGACAGACTCTTGCTTCACTCGTTGTTCAGTGTGTTCAGTTGGTGACCACAGGGGGGCGGGGTTATTTTATTGCTTCCCTGTGGGCGGTGCTAATGAGGAAACACTTTCATAACATGGCGTTGGGACAAAACACAGATTGTATTTAATTAATGGATGTGTGACATCGACATTGTTCATCTACAGGAAGCGCCGGCAGGGGAGACAAACTGTAGTACGACCTGGTTTCAGTGGTAGTTTGTACATATACATTAAACGGAGTCGAAGGTAGGACGTCTCACTGTCAGTTAATGTTTATGTCTAATAACTAGCTTACATTAGCTAACAGCCTACAATGTTTAAAAGTAAAGCAAACTCCGCGCCTGCTTCTGAGCTCAGGTAACTGTTGTAGCAACAACTCGAAGAAAGAAAAGCATTTACCGTCTTTAAGTCACACCGTACTAAAGGTAGATACTGATACTGTCAACTGATTCAGGATAAATCATATCGATCAGTGCATTAAGTAATCATTAAGTCTTTTAAGTGTCATAAAATGGTGAAAAGTGGTCACGACAGTTTCCACGAGCTCACGGTGACACCTGCGAGTGTCTCGTTCATGTAAAAAACAGATACACAGCAAGAAACTGACTTAATCAATGACTCCATCATCAAGTTGTTAATGATTTTTTTATTTTAAATCTATTATTTGACTCTTCATTTCTGCCCTAATTATTTTCTTTACTGAAATTAAAACTGTCCTTCTAAACTTCAATAATAATGTTTATGTTTCCACAGATGGCCTCTGCTCTGGCTAACAGAGCAATGGGAGCCATTGTTGGATCAGCTGTTGCAGATGCAGCAGGTAATAATAATAAAAGTCTGTATGTATATCATATCCTATGCTGTCAGTAAATGCCTTAAAGTGGAAATGCGTTTTCTTCTCTTACCCTTGATATAAAATACCCCCTAAATCTCATAAATCATAATTTTCACTTTTCAGCTCAGGTTCTATTTTTCTGATCTTGTTTTCTATTGTTCTGGTGTTGTTCAGAATTAAACTGACCTTTATGATTTGACCCTGCAGCGCAGCCCCTCCACTGGGTGTATGACCTCCAGAAGCTGCAGGGGATTCTGGCTCAGGATCCAAACCCCGAGTTCCGCTCTGAGTCCGCCAACCCGTTCTACAGGAGGCAGACGGGCCAGCAGAGCTGCTATGGAGACCAGGCGTATGTTCTGCTGGAGTCCCTGTCTGAATGTGGAGGTAGGCTTGCTTCTTCATCTTATCGACACAAAATATCATAAAATATCCTCAATTTTGAACACATTTGTGTAAAAAAAAAACAAAAACGCAAAGATTTCCTCTGTTTTCACCTCGTGAAAAGCCTTTGAAACAGCACTGGGGATTATTATGTTGCTCTAAAACCCACATAAAAATATTGGAATGAAAGACGGGAAACAAAAAAATTACAGCGCACAACTGAAATATTAATTTATCAAATTAATTTTTTACAAAAAAGTATTTTATTGTAGTGTTTGACCACAGTGTCATGTCAGGTGCAGGCTGGTTTTGATTGTCTCTGGTGCGAATATAACAACAAAGCAAACTATATATCTGGCCACACTCTTTAAGCTCTAAACCCTCTGTCGGTTCCTACAAATTATTATGATTAAATGTCCTCACAGTTTGAGTTGCAGGCTTGCCTTCGTCTAAGTTGTCTGACCTCTCTGACCAGGTCTAAATGTGGAGGATCTGAAGCAGCGCACGCTGAAATTCTTCGGTCCTGGATCAGAGTATGACACGCCTATCAACGATCCTTACAGAGAGAGAGGAGGTAAGAAAGCTATCCAGTATGTTTTTTGATGAAGAATAAATTCACTTTGCTGGTGGGTGTTGTACTTCTGTGTATAACAGGGCCAAGACCGCAGCTGCCCATCGAGGGACCATGGAGACATGCATGTTTAAAGGGCTTCCTGAAGAATGTGGACGCAGGCAAAGAGGAGACAGGTAAAGGCCCGGTACTGATTCACTGTTACAACAATGTCATGTAACTCTGGCATTGTGAAGAGAAACAATGTTGTTGTTGTTGTTGTATTTGCCACAGGATGTGAGAACGACTGTCAGATCGATGGAATAGCCAAACTGGCTCCTGTAGTGGCTTTTTATGCAGGAAAGCCTGACATGCTGGAGAAGGTTGAGCAGGCCACTCGTGTCACCCAGAACAACGACGCATGTGTGGCAGAAACTCTGGCAGCAGCAAGGTCAGTGTGTTTCTCTAATACACAGATTCATTAAAATGTTATATTTTCCCTTAACTGAACCACTGGTGATTATAGGAACAGTTCACTTACAAATCTGGGATTTGAATAATAAAAAAACTACTCTTTTACTTGCAAATCCACCCAGGTGGGTAGAACATTGTATCTTGCAGCTGCGTGTATGATTCCTAATGTTCTGTGCTAAGAAACATTGATGTATTTCACTGAAATGACATTCGCTGCTTCATGGGAACAGTATTTCACATTCGGCTAAGTAAATCTTGTAGGTGTCAGTTTGTTCATTGGTAAGTGGAGGTTGTAATTTTAAGATACTTTACAGCAGGAATCCTCAAGCACCGGTATCTGTGCAGCAAATATAATTATTGAATTAATTAGAAAAACATACAGAGAACAAAACCAAGTATTAAGTGCAGCTGGGGGCCACACTGAAATGAAAAGATATTATAGATTGTAAAATTGATTTATTTCCCAGGTTCCTGGAGCATTTCATCCTGAATGGTCCTGACCCTAAAGCCTTGGACGCAGTGCTCGATCAGCTCAGTGACAACAACAGAAAACAGCCGCAGGACCTGGACAAAGCAGTCGTCGGTATGTGAGGCCTGCAGCACTGTGGCTTCAATACGTTACAATCATGGGACTGAGTCACGGGATTAAAGGATTTACCCTTCCCCATTTTCTTCCTTCCTCATTTCTCATTTATTATACTAAATAGTTACAATGTGTGTAATGATTAAAGCATATTTTAACATGGTCAGTTTTCTAAATTACTCTGAAGTCAAAGGAACTTGCAAAAATGTATGTTTAATATAATAATAATAATAATAATAATAATAATAATAATAATAATGATATTTACTTTTTTTTCTTTTATGCCTGTTTTCAGGGCACATTCACCAAGTAAAGGAGAATCTCTCCAGGACTCCTCGGGAGCTAATCCCCACTGTGTTTCCAAACACCTGAGGTATCCTCACCAAGCTTGTTTTAACCTCTTTCATTATTAAGTCATACTTTTCATACATACATACATACATGTCATACTAATCAGCAAACATCAGTAATCTAGTACTACCTGTAACTCGGGTGACTGTGTTTTACAAGACAATTATATACTGGCTCTGCGTCTTTCAGGTTTGCCAGGTGCGTTCCAAGCAGCGCTGCATGGAGTCCTGACAGCAAAGCAGTATGAGCAGGCTGTCAGAGATACCATGAGCTGCGGGGGATGCACCTGCAGTCGAGGATCCTTCATTGGGGCATGTCTTGGGGCACAGGTGCTACTCTTACTCTTCTTATATTGAACAGTATGCCAGTATTGTATATATATGATGGTTTCTAAAATATGACATTTTAATTCTCCCAGACTGGACTGGAGGGGATTCCATCTTCCTGGATGACCAAAACCCTGCGATACGACTCAGTGTTGGCACATGCCAAGAAGATAACCAAACACCACCAATAGTTTCCTGGCAGTGAGTGTGTTTACTATCTAAGGTGGCTAAGAGCATCATGAAAAGCTGTTGAGCTTTCACAGAACAATGAATGAAGGTTCTTGTCTAAACTGTCGAACGGCAGGAGCCAGATGTTTTTGTCTCTGTTGAAGTTAAACATGTTGGTTCAGATGTACTGGCACAAGTTTATCTACAATAAAGTAATTCTAAAAATACGTTATGGAGAACCTTTTGTCCAGTGTTCAGTGGGGCTGAATGTATGCACTGTGTGTCAACCAGTGATGGTAAAGAGAGATTTCTCCTTTATGTTTTTGCTGACAGTATATAAGTATATAAGTATATAATGATATATTTGACATCACATCCATCTGAGAGTAAAAAATGTATCTGCTGCCCATACACTTCAGGACGCAGACACAAGCTATTAAATACGAGTTATCTTTCTTTCTTTTATCGTGTGCACATAGTATTTAATTGTATTTTTTTTCTTTTTAGAATGAGGAAGCTCACATCCAACACTGTTCTCAGTTACAAAAAGTAACTTCTGAGTAAGATGCATTAAGATGTATTTTTTTTTAATGGTCTTTCTTTTTTCTTTAATAAAGGAGAAATGCACACCAGGGCAATTTGAGTTTTGAGCCCCTGTAAACACCTTGTTCCTCCCACTCGCTTTGCATTGTGTAGGTATTCTGATGCCTTTAAGTCCTGTCCCAAGTTTGCTGTGTCAGTGAATTTGTGGTTATTTGATTAAATATTAATTTATTTAGGAATAGACACCGTACAAACTTAATAGCTACCAAATTAATAATGCTTATTAAATTCAATGTTGATGCAAATTTAATTTTGAAGCCTGCCCTTATCTCTTTATCATATGTACCTTAGTGATGCACATTCTCATATTTAGAGATCAATTTAATAAGCACAAACAAATTGCCACACAGTGAAGCTGAAGCCTGAGGCCTGTTATTAATACAGCTTTGCTTGGGCAACCACAACATCAGCACATAGACAGTATTCATAGATAGTTTTTGATGAATGTTCGTTTATAGATTCATTGAATAAATTCGTGTATGACACCCCATGCGCGAACACTAGGTACAATGCAACTACGACAAGAAGATTGTCCACCACGGCCACCGTAGTTGTACCTGACGACAGAGTTGGGTAGCAGTTGTGGAGTCAGACAGAAACATGGCCGGTAAAGGAGGAAAACAGAGTCGCCCGGGTCCTGGTCTTTCAGGTAGAAAGGGTGCAGGTGAACAGGAGGAAGAGGAGCAGCCGCTGCAGGCAGTTTTAGTCGCTGACAGCTTCAACCGGAGGTTTTTCCCGGTGACCAAAGACCAGCCGCGGGTAGGCAGCGAGCTAAGCTAACTGGGATGCTAATGGTAGCTAACTTCTGTCCATGCTGTAAACAGTGACAGAGCTGTACGGACACTGATGAAACCACTTTAATACAGCTGAATATTCAAAATTAAAACCATTGACTAAGCTGTTGTGTTGTTTTTGTTTAATAATGCTTGTGGAGCTGTTTTCATGCAGCTCCATCATGTTACAGTTACTTTACTCAGACCGCTAACGTCATCTGTCACATTCTCACTGATGAAGGCTTTGCTGCCGCTGGGTAATGTTGCCATGATCGACTACACCCTGGAGTTCCTCACATCCACTGGGGTCCAGGAAACATTTGTCTTCTGCTGCTGGATGGCGAGTAAGATCAAGGACCACTTACTGTAAGTTTCCCCTAATACAGTGTGAGGAGCTTCTTTTCAGCACATTGGTGTCAATGACAGATTTTGACCCCCCCTGACTCTTGTGTCTGACAGAAAGTCAAAGTGGTGTCGGCCCACCTCACCGAACGTAGTCCACATCATCACCTCAGAACTGTACCGCTCACTGGGGGATGTGCTCAGGGATGTTGATGCGAAGAACCTTGTCCGCTCAGACTTTGTGTTGGTTTATGGAGATGTGATATCGAATGTTGATATCAGCCAGGCACTGCAAGAGCACAGGTAAGACACTCTGCTTATATAGTCAGCAGAAATGATAATGATTGTGATCCACAAGGCTGCTTTGCTGTAATCCAAAATATTTGTCTCGCACACAGGCATCGTCGAAAGATGGACAAGAACATCTCAGTGATGACGATGATCTTTAAGGAATCATCACCAGGTCACAGGTCTCGCTGTGAGGAAGATGACGTCATTGTTGCTATGGACAGCAAGAGCCAGCGGATTTTACACTACCATAAGACACAAGGGCTGAAGAAGTTGCAGTTTCCCATGGTAACAGAGAGTTTCAGTGCTAGTGTATCACATAATGTAATTTGGCCTTGGACTGATGAATGACAGCTGCTCCTGTTTGTGTTTTGCAGAACATTTTCCACAGTGGAAGTGATGAGTTTGAAATCAGACATGACCTCCTTGACTGCCACATCAGTGTCTGCTCCCCACAGGTCAGTTGTGAAACAGACAGAGGAAGTGTTAAATTCATTTTTGTTGTCTGTGGTAACATTGGCGTCTCCTCATTTTTCAGGTTGCTGAACTCTTCACCGACAATTTTGATTACCAAACTAGAAATGACTTTGTCAGAGGGATCTTGGTCAATGAAGAGGTATTACACAGCCATACTTAAAGTATTGGGCATTTGTGATGCTATTTAAGACAACTCGGGTCACAATTTATTTTCTTTCTTTAGATCCTGGGAAACCAGATACACATGCACGTCACCAAGGATGGTTACGGTGTCAGAGTGTCTAACCTGCTCATGTATGATTCGGTGTCTTCGGACCTTGTGCGACGGTGGGTCTACCCCCTCACCCCCGAGGCTAACTTCACAGACCAGGAGGGACGGAGCTGCACGTACTCCCGCCACAATGTCTACCGAGGGTCCGGAGTCAGCCTGGGCCACGGCAGCCAGATGGAGGAGAACGTTCTCATCGGCTGTGACACCAGCATCGGTGCAAACTGTCACATTTCTAACAGTGTCATCGGGAACAATTGCACTATAGGTGAGTTCGCTGGCGTGGCACTGTTAAAAAGCGGAAGTGTGTGTTTGAAAGTAGGTGTGATTAACATTCCTCTCATTTTATTGCAACAGGTGACAATGTAATCCTGAACCATGCGTACATCTGGAATAATGTTCACATTGCCAGTAACGTGGTGATCAGCCAGTCTGTGGTCTGTGACAAGGCTGATGTCAAAGAGGGTGTGAGGCTTAATAAACAGTGTGTCCTGGCATATAATGTAAGTATTGTCATCATTTATTCCTGAATGTGAATGAGTGTGTTGTGTCAGTGAGGTTGCAGAACGGCTCTGCATGTTGAAGCTGCACCAGGCAACTTTACATGTTGGCATCTTCAAACCTCATGCATATCTGATTGACCAACATTTTCAGGGCTGCACATGGTAGAACTGTTAAGGTTTTGGCAGTAGATCTGGAGATTAGTGCTGCTTTTTCTTGATAATATGTTGTTGTTTGGTTGTCTCAGATCATGTCATGTCAGACTGGTTTTTCTGCAACTAGCTGAGACCTGGCCAAAAGTTTACCATGCCCTAACTCCCAGTGATACTATAACATGAAGCTGTTAATTAATGAGCTGTACAGGTGCTGGTAGGGGGAGCTGGTAAGCTAGAGCTAACGAGAGTGCTATTGATCTCCCCATGTAACTCTCAACAAGAAAGAGAATCATTTGTTTTTGGGTCTCCAAGTATTTCACAATGTGATTTATCAACAGAGCTGGTTGCTAAGTGTGTGAGCGGTTTAGAGCCAGAGGACTCCTCAGAAAGACCTACTCTCAGTCAGGTGACTGCTGGCAGTTTGCATGTATCAGCTAAATTGTGAGGGTATTTTAATGATGGCGGAGCTACTAATGGATTCAGTTACTTCAGCAACAAATTGAAACAGTAACACTGGAGATCCGGGTTTGTGCCTCTCTGCTTTTAGAATATCTCAGATGTTTTTTTCTGCAGAAGTTTTCATCAAACCACAAATGTGTTTATCAGATCCATGTCCAACTGTTTCCATTAGATAACGACGAGCTATACTGACTAAATATGCAAGTAAGTAAGTAAACTACAGTTTTATGGCCATCGCTCCACTACCCAGTGTAGATGGTGAAATAGGACAGTGACATAAATTATTTGAGGGAGCACTTGGCTATTTTAAATGCCTGGTGGTAAGATAAGAAACGTTGTGGATATGGCCCCTGTATTTCTCTTTGTAAATGTCTGTCCATCCTGTTGTCCAAGATGATTTCCCACCATCTGATCTTCAATATTGGCACCAAATATCATAAAGTAAAATTTGCAGGATCTCTGGATTTTGATTTGCCTGTGAACTGTTTTCCAGGTGGTGATTGGACCAAACACCTCTCTACCAGAGGGCACAGTGGTGTCCATGCACCACCCAGAGGAGGAGGAAGAGGATGATGATGAATTCCTTAGTGATGATGCCGAGATTGGTCAAAGTAAAGACAAAACCAAACAGAAAGGTGTGTATTGTAAAAATTCATAAGTTGTTAAACGGCTTAAATGTTTCTTGTTGCGGCTCATCGTGTATTTTCTTCTGTCCTTCAGTTTTCAACCCAGCAGAGGTCGGAGCAGAGGGGCAGGGCTACATCTGGAAGGCCAGCAGCCTGGACGATACAGAGGATGAGGAGCTGTCGCAGTGTCTCTGGGGTAGGACATCATCCTCGAGTTTGTGAAAATGGCATTTCCCATGATGCTTTACTCCGCGTCCCAGCAGCCTGACCATTTGTTTCTTGTTCGCTAGGTTTGGTGTTGAACCCTGATCCTGAGAGCGAAAGTGAGGACAGTGAGCCCGATGGTCCAGACGATCCAGTGATCCCCTCCCCCGAGATGGACGATGTTAAAGGTGAGCGGGGTCGAGATGTTTGACTCACCTGCCTGTGGAACCACATGGCTGCCCCCTAGTGTCCAGAGACCAAAATACCAACAAGATCAGGGACTGAGCCGCTCGCTGCCTCAGTGTTTCCAAATGAGAAATATTATGAAGCAGAATTTAATCATTTCGGTCTGAAAGTAATGATTATATTCAGTATTTTTGTCTAAGTAACTCCGAAACATGGGGAAAATTGCTCTTGTCAATTTCCCTGAGCCTAATGTGATGTATTCAGATTGCTTGTTTTGTCTGACCAACAGTCCTACACCCAGTGATACAAAACCACAAAGCAGCAAATTACTCTATTGATCCACTTATTGTTGTAGCAGCGCTTCACTCTCAGTGTATTACATGATTAGTGCAATTTAATATAGTTTCCTGGGACTCTTCCCTAAACTGATCAACTACAGTTTGCTGTAGTAAATGAATATTAAATGGATATTTACTGAGGTTTAAATAGGTCTTTCCTCTGGAAATTAACAATTGGTTTTGAACTCAAGACAAGTTACTAAATTTTGTCTCTTTTTTTACCTGTAATTGTTAACAGATTACATAGTTCCCCTATGACACGTTCTATGAAAAATGGAAATGACAAACCTATAAAACAGGTATCACAGTTAAGCATCACAGTTGGTTTCTATATTAGTGGCAAAAGAAAGTGCTTTTTAAAATCAGCTCTTTACAAGAAGATGATTAGCAATAACTGTTGCCGTCCTTTTGTGTGTTGGGTGGAGACTTCCTGCTGTCTGACTCTTGTTCTTTGGTCTGTTCATGTTTAGTCTTCCAGATGGAGGTGCTGGGGACTCTGCAGAGAGGCTTGGAGGAAAACATCGGCTGTGACAATCTGGTACTGGAGATTAACTCTCTCAAGTAAGGAACAACTTCTAATTAATTTCAGTTCTATTGCTGTCTGTCACAGATTATTGCACATTCAGTTTGGCACACTTTTCTCTCCAGATACGCCTACAACATCACTCTGAAGGAGGTGATGCAGATCTTAACCAGAGTTGTTCTGGAGTACCCTTTTCAGCAGCAGGGTCCTCAGCTCACCGCATCACAATACGTTGCTGTGCTCCTGCCGGTACTACTTACTTTTTTTTTTCCCCAGTACATTCATTAAACTGTAGTTATGATAGAAGTAAATATCCTGAATTGTCCTCATTTGTCCTCTCAGTTATTGAAGAAATGGTCACCGGTGTTTAAGAACTACGTGAAGAGAGCGCAGGACCATCTGGACTGCCTGTCTGCCTTTGAGGAGCACTTCCTGGAGCAGGAGAGCCACTGGCCTGCCATGGTCAAGGTAAGGGCCAATCACCACCGCCATGTACAGTCAGTAACCTGCTGACTCCTGGAAAGATCAAACTCACCTTACAAGAAAAGATGTTGGTCATCAGACAGAACCAACCACGTCATTCTGCAGTTTACTCTGCATTTATCAACCCTGGTGCTGAAGATGCTTGTGTGTTTTTTCTTTCAGGTCCTGATGAACATGTACCAGCTGGAGATCCTGGAGGAGGAGATGATACTGCGCTGGTTCTCCCAGGGGGCCACCACCGACAAGAGCAGACAGCTCCGCAAGAACCAGGGGGTAGGTACAGGGTTAACTGGCTCACACGAGACACAATTATACAGTAAAGGGTTGAAGTCTGGATGATGTGGTAAGAAATCTGTGTAAAAACGGGACATTATCACAACCTGAATTGTGTATTTTTTAATTAATCATTGATTAATTAATATATGATTTTAATAATGTTTAATTCTCCATACGTGAGCCATAAGCATCTGTAAACATTCCTTTAAAATCACAGTAGCTGCAGTTGTTCACATAGACTTTGCTGTAGCTCCCTCCCCTTCTCTCCGTCACCACTCCTCATGGTGTTTCAGTGATGCAGACTTTGTGACAGTTCTGTTTGTGTCTGTTTCTCACCAACAGCTTCAGAAGTTCATCCAGTGGCTGGAGGAGGCCGAGGAGTCTTCAGAGGAGGACGGCGAATAATGAGGAACACTTGAGAGAGGACAAAGAGGATTCTGTAAAACTTGAAAACTGCTGTGTTGGTAAAGGGGATTCAAGCTGTTTGTTTTACCCTCTACAGCAGCTTTCTGCCCCTGGTGTCGGGATCTGCTCTGTGCAGTTGAAACTGACATACAATACATTTGTAACTCATAATGCCACGTCATATAAGGGCCGTATGCTGCGAATGTCACTTTCCAAATAAAGCAGAAAGACTCTCAGACTGCTTGAAGATATGTACCATTTAATAAGTACCATTTGTCTCACTTTTTTGTCAACAACATAAAACATCTCACTCAAAATAAAACAGCTGATACAAGGTTTGAAAAGCGGTTTTATTATTATTTCATACAAGACTAAAACCACCACCTTTGAAAAATATTGGTTACAGCAGTGTATTGTGCCCTTTTTTTAAGTTATAAACTGAACACTGACTCCAGGTCATAGAACAACATAGTACAATCATCAAAGAGGTAGACAATAAGCAGCTACACTGACTTAATCACAGTTAATATGGATTTCAAGCCATCTGGTCTAAATACTGACTGGAATCTTGGACTGAGAATTATTTCTCTGATCAGATTCACAGTCAAAGCCTTGTAAAGAAAAGTAAAAGCAAAAGATCAAAATAAAAGCCTGATTACATTTTTGACATGATATAACACAAAATTATTTAAAAAATCATTACAAAAATGGCATTTTTATCAGAAAAGACTCAAGCTCAAAACCAGAAGGAAAACGATGGTCATACATATCTGAAGTGGTCCTGTTAGTACGGTGGCCCCCAGGGGGCAAAACAACCCTGGACCAAACAACATAATTTCACAGAATACAGTAATAAACCTAGAAAACAACATTTTACGTTACAGAAAACACATGATTGATCTGGGTTTGCAAACAAGAAATATTGTTGCAAGTTTCTTCTGTTTTGGACAAACGTCATCATGTTTTAAGTTGTGTTAACATGTCTTGTAAAATGTTTTTCTGTTTGTTTTTGTGTTGTTCTGTTTTTCCCCCCCACATGCACCGTACAAGAAAATACCAGTCAGCAGAGAATTAAATCTAAACATGCCTTCACCTGAATGATCTGAACACCAGGACTGTGCTGTGGAAGCTGAGTGGACGAAACATCTGATGCAGCTTTTGCAGCGGTGAAACCCGCAGGACCCTCCTACTTTGATCTGTCATCTTTTTTTCCACCTAAGTTGTAAATGACCCCAGCGAGAAGAGAAGCCCCCGTGAGGCCAGTGAGAGCGGTCAGCGCCTTCCACATGCTGGCTGAACTCTCGTGTCTGTCCATAAAGCTCCTGTAGTCCGACGGCACCAGGATGAACTTGCGGCCGTCCTGTGGGGCCTGCAGCCTCATCACCTGACCTCCCTCCAGCACCACCTCCCCGAACCCGGTCATGGTGCTCCCCACCCGCAGCATCTCCTCGCCTTCCTCCATCGCCACAGGTTTCTCTCCACCGATGACCTGCAGCGCAATGTTCCCCAAGCTCTCCTCAGCATGCTTTAATTTGTGGTAAACCCTCTCCAGGTAGCACCCAGAGGCCTCCAGAGGGTTATGCACCTTCACATATAAGTCAGTGATGTAAGCTCCAGGGCTGACCAGGCTGAAGGGGACTGAGTTGCTGGTCTCTGTCTTGTTCATCATCCGAGAATTCCTGGAAAATGGATCAAACTGTTATTAATATACTAGTAGATGAATAAAAAGAGATTTCTGATGTGTTTTTATGTACCATGTGCTGGTGAGATTGTTCCAGTATTTCCAGTGTTCCTCCATGGTTATCTTCTGAATCACACCAAAGCATCGTGGGACAAACTTGCTGGCCAGGGGCTCCCCGTCTGCCTGCACCATACCTTCAAACAGACAGTAAGGAAAATTCAAAATTAGCTCCATAACTGACTGCATTCACTAAAATGTTCATTTCCTAGACAAGTTTGTACCTTCTACAGCAACATACTGCAGCCGCTTGTAGGGAGTTGCTCTCAGGACTCGTACCAGCTGTTGGTCTGGTCTGAAAATGGGGATTTCCTGGGAAAAAAAAAATGGAGAGGAATAATTTAAAAGATTATAAAACTAGAGCTGTAATAGTAGTTTATGGGACTTAAGCATTGATGTTCTTGCCTTCAGCTTTGTCAACTCTTTCTTCTTCTCTTGGTATAAATGATAAAACAGGCCGGACAAGGCAAAGCTGGACCCGACACCGATCAAAACCAGCGGGTTTACGGGAAGGTCACTCATTGTGTCTGTGGAGCAGCAGCATTACTGTACAGTAAGTCAAACAAAACCACTGCACACAGTCATTATCTTATCAGTGCAGAAGTACGTCGTATGATTTTAAAGAATAATTAGCTAAAAGACAGACGAAACAGTGGGACAAAACTTACCTGTTAAAACCAGCAGGTGAAACTGTGACTCATGTGTAGTTTGGTCCCGTGAATCGAAAATAAAAGCTTTAAATCTTTCATTTCCTGGTTTACCCACGTTGCGTCATGATCCAACAGCCAATAGGAAACAAGCAGCGTTTTGCTTCTGAGCCCTTTGACCACTAGGCGGCAGCAGCGTCCTGTTATTACATGGCACACACATGGATATAGCCATGGACTCACACATGAAACTTCTTGTCTTGAGTTTCAGTTCCTGGTTCCAGCAGGTTACCTGAACTACTTGTTTTTTTCTTTAAACTCACACTCACTTAAATCCTGTGGTGGAAGAAGTTTTCACATCATTTTACTTACACAGAGTTAAAGTAGCAATTTACCACCATTGACCAAAATCATTGTAAAAACATCCCATTACAAGAAAAAGCCCTGAATTAAAAATTTTACTATAAAAAGTAAAAGAACAAAAGCATTAACAACAAAATATACTCAACACAGCACAAGTAAATGAAGTCATTATGCAGCAGTGTTCTTTGTGTGGATCTTTTCCCACATTAACTTTAATGAAAGTATCAATAGGGATTCAATAGGATTGTGACTGTGCCAAGATTCCTCCATCCCATATTCACCTCCAACCTTTCCTCCCCCAACCTGGAATAATATTTAAATAATGATAATAATGACAATAGTAATGAATATATTACGTCCAATGAGTTGAATAACTATAAGCAATACGTTAATTGATTGATTAATTAATTAAAAATAACATAAAACCAAGATACGACCACAAATAATTTTAATTTTCAAAAGTGTTTTTGTTTGTCTAGTTATATTTGTTTTTCTTTCTTTCTGCTTTAGGTCCGCTTTGATCCCAATGAGATTACCCAATTTAATTACGTTATAAATTATATTAATAAAATTTATATGAATACATCTTAATTTAAAATGTATACTTACTCAATAAATACCTAGTTATATCTGAAATTCACAGCCTGACTCAGATGTGTGCTGTTGCACCTGTGGGGATTTTATTCTACTGAATATGTTTAACAAATATTGCCTGAAGTCACTTCATTACATAGAAAGAAATGAGTTTCTTTTGAAATTAAACATTCATTTTTTCACAAGCAATATGAAGCTATGGATCTTTATTTTGAACATATCAGGGATACTTCTATTGGTTGAGTTGGAGCTAATTTGATTTGTTTAATCTGTAACAAAACATAATATATTTTATAAACTGATGTTTGTTTAAAAGAGCATAATCTGATAACTAACTATTTGCTTTAGCTGTTTTTTTTTGTAAATTTAGACTATTTTCCTGTGATGTAGTGAAGATATAATAATATAACAAAAAATAAACAAGTTTAGCCTTAAAATAGCTCAAAATTGTAAAAAAAAAAAAAAGAAAAAAAAAGAAAAAAACAAAAAGAAAGTACTTTCCACTAACTCATCACCCATGCAAATATTTATATCCATTTATCTTGAGTTTCAGCTTTAAAAAAATGGAAAACCACTGCAGACCACATGACAGCACTCAGCAGAAAAACAAAAACATGAAACAAGTTGTGTCATGTCAGGTTTATTTGTATTAGCCCAACATTACTGTACATACCATGTCTCAACAGTCACAGCTCACTTCCGTGTATGTGTTGCTCTGTATCATTTCTAATTAAAAACACTGATCTGTAGTACAACTGTGACTGTAATGTCTTTAATGTCCTCTGCACGTCACAGTGGTTTACTGCTCGTGGTCATGGTGTGATATTGATTAACGTTGCCAATCAAAATGATGTAGTCATGACAGCGATGATTTGCAGGCTGACTCATCCCACATTTATGGAGACGGTGCAGCCCCTTCTCGCTGCAGGTTGCATGTGTCTGTGAGCTGTGAGCAGTAAACCTTTACATATCATAATGACTATCCAGGACAAAAGTCACATATAAAGAACATGCAAAATAATTTTGTACAGCAGAATGATTTATTCATGTTTATTTTCATGACCTTTCAGATTTATTTTGAGACCCCGGGGGAGAGATCCAGATCACCTCTACAGCATCGAATCCTGATTATGTTTCTCACTGAAAGTTGCTCTGACGTAAGACAAACATATATCATAATCTAAAGAATCACAAACCTCACCAGCTTCCTTTTTCTCTCCTTCTCTCTCCCTCTCTCTGTGCACTGAAAAGCTGACTAACTGGCAAACAGCATTTGACCGTGACGCATGTTTTGATGCGTGTGCTGTCATATATTTTCCTGTCGTTTGGTTGCTGCCGTCATCTGTTCTTTGTGCACTTTACTTTCTGCGGGTTGTGAATAGAGTTGCTGAAACTGAAAATGTATCGTGCACAACTGGGAACACAGATGAGTGTGAGGTAAATCTCTGCTGACTCAGATAGCAGTGAATACTCAAGGACATCTCTGATACTGCAGGAGAGGAGAGAAAAGAGAAGAGAGACTACAGAAAACCTTACTGCTTTTTTTTCCCCCCTCATTATACGTATCATGCTCGTCCTGATTCAGGTGTTGCTTTCACTCCTCTTCAGTACATCTGTCCTTGACTGCGCACTGACAGCAAATGTTGTGTGTATGTTTTCTTTATTGAAAACATACATAACCTTAGTGCAGCCTCTTTAAACCTGCATGGAACAAATGATTTCTGATGACACTGACAACACTGACAGCCTTGTGTGTCTGTATGGAGGTGTGGAAACAATTAACCTACTTACTTACCTGCCTGGAAAGCAGCTGTGGACCAGATCTGATTTATCTGTGTGGGAATGCAGTGGCTTTGCAAGAGGATGGTTCCAAAACAGAACAATAAATTAGGACAAAATGAAAAATCTGCCTTAATCTCCTCTTTGAAAATGAATAGTTATGTTATTCTTATTTCAGCAGCAAAAAATGTCCCACAATCCTCCTCTCATATTTGTTTTAAAGATGCACACACCCTTTTGGCCCTTCCCCTTGTTGATGAGTGAGAACGGATGAAAGACACACTGCGTCGAGGCAGCAAGTCTGGACGGTCACGCCAAAGTATTTCCCTACTGTATAAGACAGCGAGCGGTGCACGGTTGGCAGAGGGAGCTGTAGGTGTAATTGTCCAATAATAATACACGGAGAATAAAAACGCTGCCATTCATGTTGAGTGCGTCAGACGTACTCAACATTAAGAGACTTTGTGGCCTTGAAAGAAATGTGAGGTCTGGCAGACAGAAAGATCAATTTATTGTAACACCAGAGGAGATTTCCATGTTATCTCAGTGACACAACCTTTATTTGTACGAGGAAAATTGTTTTATTTCTCCTTAAAATGTTGCATAGTTACACTTAGATAGATTTAAAGAAACAGACACCTACAAATCTGTGCATTAACAAGAGTCTACAGCCATGCCAGCAGCTCTGAGGCCTTACGTCACATGTCAGCATGTTAACACGCTCACAATACTAACATGTTCACCATCTTAGTTTAGCCTGTTAGCATGATACCATTGGCTAATGGAAAACAAAGAAAAGCTGAGGCTGATGGGAATGTCATTAGTTTTGCAGGTATTTAAACCGTGTTTTTGCTGATATGTGATGGATGGTAGAGATGGAAAAACAAGTGTCATCACGACACCTGTGTGATCAAGTTAAGTTTAAAATATTGTGCAATGACAGTATAACACCCTATAGCCATTAAATGCAGGTTTAATTACATTGAGAGAGAGTTTTGCTGATGTGAGGCGTCTATATTTGTTTGGTTTTCAGGCAGTGCAAGTTGGATATAGACTTTTCAGAGTTTCCCAGTTGTAATTACGACTTGTAGGTTGATGTGAACGCTATTTACTTTTATTTGTATTGTTTTAATTTGTTTTTTTTTTTGCCACTTTTTATGCCTGTATTGACAGCATAGTGCAAGGTGAGGAGAGAAGGGGAATGACATGTAGCAATGAGTCCGGCCAACTGGGAGTCGAAGCGGGAACTTGCCTGTGTGTAGCATTTGCACCCATGTGGTATGCGCCCCGACCACTCGGCTATCAGGTCGCTCGACAACATTATTTACAAGTTGGAAAGTTGTATTTACGATAACTCCAATATGAGATGAACACAGCGTATTTCATAAACCTAAGCCTAGGTGAAAACTTGAGAGATTGTCAAAGTTATTGCAGTTCATCCTAAGAGGAACATGAATGTCTGCACCAAATTTCATGGAAGTTCATCCAATAGTTATTGAGACATTTCACTTAAAACCAAAAGAGAAGAAGTCAGGGAATCCCTACGTCATTACGGTTCAACCTCTGGGGACCATGAATGTCTGTACAAACTTTTCATGCAGTTGACGTGGATTAGAAAATACTCAAATGGTTTATAGAACATCTTCAACCCCCACATGACAAAAACAAAAAACACTTCATTTTAACAAACAAAATCAGAGCTGCTTTTCTTAATTCCTGAAAAGAGGACATAGTTGAAAAAATTAGATAGTATTCCTCATCTCATTGTTTCATCTGGATCTGTCATCAGGATTTATGGCCAATCTCATCAGGGTATTAAAGCAAACACACACAGACACTGTGCAAACATTAAACAGATTTACATTGGTTCCCTGCTGGGAAGTTAATTTCACTCTCTGATCTTCATGTTGGTTTGATGGGTTTGATGCATCTCCATTATCACCATCATTGCCTCTATTAAAAACAATCAAATTCGTCGACTGACAGCTTGTGGTTCAATTCAGACTCTCACATCAGCATCTCAATGAAACGAAGCCCCACAGGCTGCGTGTGAAGAGCCAGCGTGATATTTCAGCTTGTGTGCGAAAGGGAGCAATTTATGCAGCAATTACCGACGATAAATAATTCCCACATTAATTTTGAGCAATCAGTGCTTCAGTCAGTAACTGAAGCCCATGTAGCTTTTGATTAGCATCAGATGTCATCATGTGAAGATTTAGCAGAAGACGTTGTGTGATGTTGTGCTTTATGGCACGAAACGAGAAGATGCAACAGGAAGACGGTGAATTTAAATAATGTCAACATGTTTATCCTCTTCACGAGCAAAGATCATCTTTATGACTGGGGTTGATGGGAAATGTGGTCTT